TTATTTTGGTGTCTATGTCTAAAACTTATTGAAAATCCAGTGCAAGAATAATTATTGCTACTTATCTATCTATATATCTACGTATGTTATTTATAAATGCAAAAAATACTTAACCCATTGTAATAAATCTATCTCGTACGAGATATGGCATGATTAGCGTGAAAGGTGGACTGTTTTTTTTTAATTATAATTAGAGATGCCTTTTTTAACTTGGAGAAATTTTTTATCTACTACTACTTTCTAGGGGATCGGGTTGGATATATGAGATTGTTAGTCACTAATAACTCCACTGTGTTATTCGGTATGCCAAGGCAACAAGCCACGGGAAGTACTTTTGATTTCTTCCGCGACTGCTGTAGCGGCAAGAGATGTTTGTGAGATCTTTATAGCCCCCTCATTTTTAAAGTTGGATATGCCTACAATAAAATGTCTGCGTAAAGCAGGGGTGGTTCGTTAGTATTAAATACACGTAGCTTAGTTATCTGTTCATCACATTTGTAAAATGAATATAATGTCGCAAGATAAGCAACAAGTGGAGATGAAACCCGCGTACTTGTTTTTGTTGAGGCTTAAAATTTCAGCAGCGAGAGATTTATCTTGAATTTTAATTAGTCGTTTGGCAAGATGGCTTTGTAGGGAGTTACTTTTGTAAATATTGAGGACTTTTTTTAATATAACGTAAATAAAATATAATAGAAAATTTATTATTTTATTTAAAATAATATATCATTCTTTTTTTATCAGGCACTAATATTTTATGTGATTATTCTTCTTTATGTTTGTTTTCCGTTTACACGCACTCGTATTTTATGTGGATGTTTTTAATAATTATATTTAAGACTTCTTATATAAAAAATATGCTTAATATATAAAAAATACTACTAATTTTGATCTACATAAATAACTAATTTATTTATCTCCGAAGCATATTAGCTATAAACGATAATTCAGATTCGATATAATTATAAAAAAGCTTTTTACTAAACTAAAGTAAATATCGTAAATTTTCAACGTGGCTGTTACTAGTATAAAGTAATGTCATAAATTGTCAACGTTGCTGTTGTTGTACTAGTAACAAAGTGTAAAAAATGTTTTACCAATGTAATAGTAAATAGTATGTATCTAATGTTACAGGAGAATTATATGTAGTATAAAATTATATACATATTATGATTCCTCTTTATTTTTTTTATATTACGCTCATTACTTGGGTAATTTCGGTTATTCACATATATTTAGCAATTGTCTTAAAAATTTCAAAAGCATTGTCTTTTGAAAATATGAGACATCTTCGGGATGACTCATAAAAGAAAGTTACACACGTATAATGAAGCATAGAGCGACGTCTGTCGGTTTATGACACGTTTTATTGGCTCATGTTTTTACTATCTTTTGAATATAAATCTATGGTTATGACTTTATGACCTTCAACACTTCTGGGGCTCTAAAAGAGAATATTATTAGATTTACGACTGCCACTTGAGATAAAACGTTCTTGAACGAGCAATTTTTTTTCTATTATTTCATGAATAAAATTAGTCATTCTCAAATTCGTGATTTTGACGTTTATTTTATATTATTTGCATTATTAATACATTAAACAAGCTGACGACTAAGTGATGATTAAATAATATTTATTGAGCAAAGCCTATTACACACTAAACGATTACTTGAATGACGAACGTGCATGGCAATAGTAGTTCATGCACGGGATTTTAACTTAATGTTAGACATAGACACCTACATGAGAACAAAATGTAAACAAACCAGCTTTTAAAATAGAGACTCATGAAATAAATAGAAACTTAGCTAAGTTTCTTGCTAGTTCTTCTCAATCTGTTTACTGATATGGACGGTAGGGAAAAATACAAATATTATTCCAAAAATTTGACGTTCATAAGCCGCTAAAATGTCCTACATGAATAAATTATTTTTACCTTCATTTGATGGTAATTGGTAGTTGTCGCCTATATACGAGTACAGGTCGACGATATCATATTATTATATCATGCTGGTAGAAAACATGAGTAATATCATTCAAATATTGCCGTTCGTGAAAATGTAGGTTTATATTCAGGTTAAACATCATAATATTATCTATAATTTTAATGTGTGTACGAAATAACAATGGGGCTACCATTGTTATTTCGTACACACATTAAAATTTACGTTATGGATATGCCCCTGGAAACAGTTGAAATATCGGTGCTCTGAAAAAAAAACAAAAGCCTACACACTAAAAAGTAATAAAATTTTACAGCCTCGGTGATGTAGCCTTATATTGGTTGGGGGTTCGATTCCTCGCATGATGCAAACATTTTTATTTACGAGTTTGATTGTTTGTATTGGTCTAATTAGTATTAGTGTGATTAGTAAGAAAGACTGTCGATTTATTTATATAATGATTTTGTAAAATATATCAATAGTATTCAAGGTTAAAAGGAGATGAAAACTAGTCGCATAATCTAAATGCAGCCTGGTTCCGAAGGTTTGATTCTGAATCGGGCAAGCTTAGAGATTAGAAGAGTATTTTATTAAAACTGCTCTTCTATTTTTGGGTTGGCGATTTTATGACACATAATTGCATTAAGGTCGGCTGCCTAGATATGAAAAGTTAACTAACAGACAGACACACACATTTTTACATCAACAATAAAAGTATGGATTGTCTTCATTTGGGGAAATTTGTTGTGACTAAACATTTGATAGGTGGATAACTGTGTAAAAACACATTCAAATGATAACACTTATTTAGTGTTGCTATCTTTATTTGTCAAATTTTACCTTAATTTTATAATTTTAGTTACATAATCTGTTTATAAATGTGTCCAACTACACACAAAGTAAAATAAAACATCTCATAAATAATTTATTTTGATCACTTTTATAAACTCTATTACAATTCGTTCGCAAAACTAAGGAAGTAACGTATCTTACTGTGTCATATTTAATCATAGAAATTACGTTTCAAACTATTTACAATAATACTATTTACAATTTTACATTAATTTATATTTTATAAATAATAAACAATAAATATTTCTATTTATAAAATTTCACTAATTTTTAACCTAATAAAATTAATACCTTGTTATTTATATCAGTAATAGTACTAAAATAAACGTATTTATTAATAAATCAAGTTGTGTTATTAATTACGTACTACGTCAGGAACATAAAATATATTTAGAAATAATTTTATCACAAATTAATTAAATATATTTTTCATTATTGTATTCCTGAGAACAATAATTGAAATATCTCATTTCTGTATATAAAAGTCAAATTAATAACACTTTACAGTAATCTCAATTATATATAAAATCAAAACAATCTTACTTTTATTGAAGAATCGTGCAATTACTCGAAAAGGGATTCAAATTGCTTTAATAATCTTTTAAATTTAAATTAAATTCTGTAAAAGATTTCGTAAATAGAATAAAAGAAAGTGACATTAGGGTTCCAAGTTGGAAGAGGTAGGCGGTGTGCTATTTTATTATTTGACAAGCATGAATTTAATTTAATTGATTTAATACAAGGTTTGTGTTTTTAATGAGACCACTTTAAATACATTAATTATTTGAGTCTCAAAACAACATATACAAAATATATAGCACGATATTAGTATCACATATAAAATAATTCTGTTTTGAATTCATAGAAGAGTAATGTATAGTTTATTTCAAGAAATTTCAATCCTGTAGAGCTATGATCAATTACATTTCTACTAGTATACAAAAAAACATTTCCTATTTTAACTTATATACAATTGAGTAAAGACGAATTGTAAAAAATATTGAATAGGATAAAATTTTAGAAATGAGACAAAAATAGATTCAAATAGACGTAGAACTAAAGTTATTTAAAGCACAATTTGGTCTCATTAATATCTAAGGGGAATTTACACTCTGTTCTATCAATATGTATTTAATAGTTAAATGATTTGAAAAAAAATATACATCAACCGCAATATTGATGTATATGACAACATTGTTATGAACCGAATCGTCACATCACAAACAATCGATGCGACAAGCGTAAAATTATTTTAATACAGCCCATGTATAACGCAGTGTTTGTAATATAAAGTAAAAAATAATTGATTTTTTCATCACACTGAACTAATAGTTCCAAGAAGTAACGTGGTTCTTGTCCCTGACGGGTCTCTGAAAAAGGCGAACACAATAGATGTACGTAGGTCGCAGTGCTACAGGTCCAAGCACCTGACAATAGCCCAAACAAATCAGTAAAAAAAATGTAGAAAATTTTTTTAAGGTAATAAATATGCTTTTAAACCATTTCAATATGAAATGTTCAACATTTATTTCAGATTTCGAATATGTTTTTGGTGATTGTGATTCAGTTTTATTAGTAATCAAACTAGAATTTAGCTTAGTATATCCGTTACAGCTATAGTGCCGTATAGTGTAAAATATGTATTTATTAGTGTTTTATTACAATTATTAATAATGTGTAGTACAATATGGCAACATTATGCCAAGTAGGTTTTTCTACCACCAGTAAATACTAGTTATTTTGTACACTATCATATGTCCATGTCTTTTTTTATTTAATTATATAAAATAAAACAGGCTTTATCAAAGACATTGCCATAATACAGGCTATATTTTTTTCTAACTTCTCAAACATAGACAACGGTTACTAGTTTCTTGAGAAATAGTTAAATCATAATTAAAATAAAAATAATTGAAAAATGATTTCCGCTAGTCGCACCGCTACTGCCTGTCACTCACATTATAAAATCTATCTAATTTTTTTATTTAAGTTATTTACATTTCGTTTCGCCGAAACAAGAAGGCCATTTAATATAGGTACAGTTTATATGTCCTTATTTTTTTTATTCACAAAATTGTAATATTTGAGAAATAGGTTTATGTTTTAGACGCTTTTCTTATTGACTTTTGCATAATAAATAAATGATTTCATGAAAATATATTCTTTTTATTTTTTCTATATTACATTACATATCGAGTGCTTTTGATACCATTCCCAGTTTTAGCATTCAGTGACAATTAAATTTTGATATATTCTTATGAAAAAGTAACACGATCCCTTCATCTTTAATGTTAACGTTATGAATGTATTTCTATAACTGTATACCAACATAAAACTTACACTATACAAAATTAAGATAAAAGAAAACTACTTTTAATTTACAATTTGATCAAACGATTATTTAAAGCTGTGTTTTGTAATTTTCATCTGAAGCCGTCAACTGTACTAGTGTATAAAGTTGCGAGGGTGCAATAGAGAGAGATGAGGAGGTTGACCGACAGCGCACAGGGTGATGCTGTGTTTGCGTTCCCGTGCTGCATCGCAGCAGGATGCTCTCCTGTTGAAAAAATATAAATATAATTAGTGACTAACCAAAGTTATTGTCCATTAACAAATCAATGAATGCGAACTCTTATTCGGCATTCAAAATATGGAGGGAAAAATATGAACAAATATTATTCCAATATATATATTATATATATGAGTAGTCTAGTATTATAATATTATATATATATATAAATAGAAAACACCCAGACAGATACAAACAATCATGCTCATAAATACAAATATTTGCACTGTGCTAGGAATCGAACCATAAGTAAAACGGAGTGCTAAACCGCTAGACCACTGAGGCCGTCACTAATGTATCTTCGTCGATAACTAAGAATCTAATGGAATTCGTTATAATTTTTTTAGTAGTAACTACTATATAGGTGTATAAATAATATTGAATAATTTAAAACATTGTTCCGAGGAAGTGTATAGTAATGAAATTTTATTTGAAAACAATAATGGCAAATCGTTTTCTAACGATGTCCTTCACTTTAATATTTTTAGTAAAGCACCCCGCTCTTGAACTTAATTGTTTTTAAATGATACAAACCATTACTAAACGTATAATAAGGAACACAACGAATATTAAAACACAAAAATTACATCTATATTATGACATGTAATTAGTAGAATTTACTAGATAGGTAAAAATGAATCTATTATTTTATTTTCTGAGGACAGCTTGATTGCCATTCCAATTATATAAAAAATATTTTTAACACACTTGCAACTCATAAAACACTCGTGCGTTATAAACGTAGTATCTCGAAGGCGAGGACGTAATAAATATAGACGAGTGTGTTAAACACGCACCTGTATCGTACGACGTTTTTCAACGTACGGGAGTATTTAATACCCTCGGCTGTATTACGCCCTCGCCTTTGGCTTGTGCTGATAGTGCTATATCCGCCAGTGTGTTACAACCATCTCAACTCACTTATATAGTAAAACTAGCTGTTCCCGCGAAATCGTCCGCGTGGAATATAACTTTATTTTTCTAAAATAAAAGTAGCCTAAGTTACTCCTTATTACATCAGCTACCTGCCAATAAAAGTCCCGTCAAAATCGATCTAGCCATTTTAGAGATTAGCCGGAATAATAAGACAGACAGAATGACAGATAAAAATTGTAAAAAAAAATATATTGGTGTATGTACCGCATTTATATACATATGCATGTAGTAAAAGACGGTTATTTCAATATTACAAACAGACACTCCAATTTTATTTATATGTATAGATAATGCTATACTATAAAATTACTGACCATTAATAACATGAACATTCACTGAAGCAGCCTCTGCCATTGTAGGCACGCAGCTGTAGTTTCCGCTGTCACCTGGTAACAGCTTCTCAATCGTCAGCCGTGACGTCAGCTGTTCCGTCCATTCTGTTCTCAACCGAACTCTCGGCTCTTCCACTATCTCATTCTCTTCTACTTCCTTATACTCTATTAGTTTTGATCCTGAAAAAAGGGGATAATTATTAATGTTTTTTTATAATAATGACAAACTGCAGTTGTTGGCATACTCTCTAGAAGATTCAAATTCTATTTCGGTTACATACATTTATAGTTCTAATAAACTTGTTTTTACCTAAAAACGAACATATCTTTTACAAAAAGAATTATATTTATTTATTTCTAATTTTATTATTACAATCCAATCTATAAATACGAACTTCCCTCTAAAAATAATTATCAATATTAAAAGAACAAATTGCACTAAAACGAAACTACGTAACAAAGTACATTAGTCGATAATTAAACCTGGTTTTACCATTACAATTCCTAGAATAGAAATAGGGTGACTAACATCGAAAACAGGATACAATTATAATGCCATATTCTGGGAATAGAACAACAAATCAATGCATCACGCGAACCGACGTTTAACTTGCCTTCATAAAGCAAACAAAGTACATAATTTACCAGGCAACTTTTTATTTAAGAAAGCTAGACTGTTTGCAAAAGGTCTCTCAGTCATAATGTTCTAAATATAAAAATTACAACGCGATATTCATCATTCAATCCTCAGTAACTTTTGACATCGTCTAGAAATTACTGAAATTCTTTTAGTCTTTTTAAAAGTTATTAACATTGCTAACTTTAATAAATATATACAGCCAGTGACTTTGAATGACAGAAACTCGTGTCTCTCTCTATTTAAAATACTATGGCTATATGCCAAATGTCATTGTGATTGGTCAAACCATTAAAATGTAGTAACTTAACGGACATACTTTTGTGTTCATTATAATATTTATAATAGTTTAGAATTAGGATACAGAAAAATTTCAAGAATTCCAGGCGTCCATAGCCTACGGTAACCATTTAACATCAGATGGGCCGTATGTTTGTTTCCCACTATCGTAGTAAAAGAAAACAGAAGATAGGAATGCACTAGTATAAAGTCTATAATAATTAAAATAGATGTTGTATATAAATATTTCAATACATAAAGAAGTCTGATTTTGAAGTATTTTGAAATACATTTTACGGACATTTTGGGTTAGATATTTTCTACATATAGGTCGCTTCGCCGTTCTTGCCGTCGATTCGAGTTCAAGTCTGGGTGATAGAATTCCTGTTAAAAACCCAAATTTAACCTGGAGGTGTTGTTCACTAGCCACGTTATATATAATACGCCCAGTTTGACTTAGTATTTCTTGTTGAAGTCTGGAAGTTTGCTATATATATATATATATATATATATATTATGCATGTATTTACAAAAGAAAATGCAATTGAGTATAGTAAGTACCATTTATAGAAGCTTAGGATGTTTAAGATAGATACGAATGTGTAATATTAGTTCACTCCGTGCAAACTAGATGGCGCCACAGGTAAATGTAGATGGCGCTATTAAGATTTTTTTTGTTTTAATGACCTCCCTATAGTAATATTTTTTAATAAATTCCTATCATCCCTATTGAATGGTAGTTTCAATTGGAACCCTCAATAGTAGCTTTTTGACCTCACGGTACCTATTTGTTCATTGGTCGTCTTCGAGCCGAACGTGTTAACCAAGTTCAAGGTGGTACCAGTTCAACTCCTAAGTCGCAGTGGATTGCTGTGGAAAGGAGTTCCCTTGACTCAAGTGCAGCAAGTAGTACGAGCAGTCGGCGGTTCTACGGTGGCGCCACCTACCGGACGTCGGCGGTACTAATTGCGGACGGCGCGCGAGCAGTCGTCAGGAGAAGAGTCAAGGGCGGAGGAAAGTATTACGTCACAGTGCCATCAGTGTGTGAGTGGAATGTGAAGTGAAACCGTGAGTACATTTAAATTATTAAAAATTCAATGATAGGCGAAATTGAACCTTATATCAAGCGAAGAGAAGAAACATAAAAAATAAATATCTGTTTAATAAGCTGAACTAATTTCAACCTTATTTGCAAGAGATCAAAAACTTTGAATATTTAAGTGTCTATTTGGGACTTGTAATATTTTCATATAGTGTTAATAGTTATTAAGTGTAGTTTTAGACTTAGAATTGTAAGCGAAAAAACGAAGGTACGGGGAACCTATGCCCAATTTTCCCTAGGTTTCTCAAACACTTAGAAAAATTTTGAAAATTTTTAACTTAGAAAATTTCTCATATATATTTATTAGATTATCTATTATACCTACAATAATACAAAGTAAATATTAATGCCATTTACATATAAGTAGCAGTGAAATAGTACAAACTTTTACTTTGAATAAAAATAGTTTTTCTTTTATATTTTATTATTGAATAGTATACTTAGTGGTAAATAAAAAACATGGATCCGTTATTTAATATACAAAATGATATCAATTTAAGATTGAATAAATATAGAACTAATTTTAAAAAGAGTCCGAAGGAACGTATTACACAAGAATATTTAGATAGTAGATTACAAGCATTAGAAGAGTTATGGTTAGAATTTAAGGAGGGCCATAAAGAAATATTAAAAATAGCTGCTCCTGGTAAATTAAAAAGTCATGAGTATGTAACAGAACAATTGTTTGATAAATCAGAAGAGTTGTATTTCGATTATAAATGTGAATTGTTAAAGTTGTTAAAAAGTTTTGAAAATAAAAATAGTAGTAGTGTCAATGTATCCAATGATGTTGTAAATGTTAAGTCGAGCCATGTTAAATTACCCCGCATCATTATTGGTAGTTTCTCAGGAAAATACACAGAATGGCCAACATTTAGAGATTTATTTATTTCGATGATTCATAATAATGACTCATTAGATAAAGTTCAGAAGTTACACTATTTAAAAGGGTATTTAACGGGTGAGGCGGAACAACTTGTTCGACATATTCAAGTATCGGAATGTAACTATGATCTTTGTTGGAAACAATTAGAAGAACGTTATAATAACAAGAAGTACTTGTCTCATTGTATATTAAAAAGACTACTTAGTCAAAAAAATGCGTCCTCAGAGTCATCTAGTTTTTTAAAGGAATTACTAGATACATCGTCGGAGTGTTTGAGTGCCTTGTCTAATATTGGTATTAACGTAAGCTCATGGGATATAATTGTCATTCATGTATTAACTTTAAAACTTGACCCTGAATCCCGTAAACAGTGGGAGCTTAACGTCACTAGTAATACTAATTCCGATTCGTTGCCTACATTTAATCAATTTAAAGAATTTTTAACTAGTAGATATAGAGCACTAGAGTTTGTAGAACCACACAATAAGAAATTTGAGAATAGATGTTCACTTAATAATCCTGTAAAAACAAAGGCACTACATGTTACAAATGTTACAAATATAGCTTGTGAATTTTGTTCAGGCAATCATAAATTGTGTTTTTGTAAACAGTTTGCTTCTGAGAGTTATAACAAAAGACATGAATTTGTAGTTAATCAACGTATTTGTTTCAACTGTTTAGGGAGTAACCATTCGGTAAAATTTTGTCGAAAGCCCATTAGTTGTAGAATATGCAAGAGACGTCACCACTCTCTTCTTCATCCTCAAGCAGGGTCGTCAACCGTTAATCAAGGTAACATAGTACAAACGGTTGATGCGATTCCTTCTACGAGTCAGGAAATTGGTAATGCTTCGAGTGGACCAATTGTCTCTTGTTTTAGTCAAAATAAAGTTAGTACAATATTATTAGCTACTGCTTCAGTTAATATTAAAACAAGAACCGGGGAGTATAAGATGGTTCGAGCCTTGATTGATCAGGGATCACAAGCTTCTTTTATTTCGGAATCCATAGTGCAGATGTTCGGTTTAAAAAAGATTCCTACAAAAGGAACAATATCTGGAATTGGAGGTAAAAGTTCAGTTGTTTCAAAATATATTGTCATGCTAAAGTTAAAATCAACAACAGAACCATCCTTTACAATGGACGTAAAAGCTTATGTTTTAAAGCAAATTACTTCATACTTACCTGAGTCACGTGTGTCTATTGGCGATTGGGATGAATTCAAGAATATTAGCTTAGCAGATCCACATTATGATACACCTAATAAAATAGACGTGTTATTAGGGGCTGAAGTGTACAGTCAGATTATTAAAGATGGAGTAATAAAGAGTTTTGCGGGATCTCCAGTTGCCCAATGTACTTCACTAGGATGGATTTTGTCTGGTCCCATTAATTCTGTAAGTCCTGGTAAACAAAGAATTGTTAATGTTGTTATGCATACTCACGTCCAAGAAGATGACACGTTGAAACGTTTCTGGGAGATTGAAATGGCGGATAATTGCTGTAAGAAAATATTAACACTAGATGAACAAAAGTGCGAAGACATTTTTGTTGCAACTACAAAAAGAGATTCTGATGGTAAATATATTGTTAAGTTACCATTTCGTACGGATGATCCTCCTTGTAAAGGCGGTAATTCCAGAGAAATAGCTATCAAGCGTTTTTATAATTTAGAGAAGAAATTAGCAAAGAATAACAAGCTTAAGAATGAATATACTAAAGTGATAAATGAGTATTTGTCTATGAACCATATGAAATTAATAAAACAGCCAGATTATAAAGCAAATGAGTCAGTTTACTTACCTCATCATGCCGTGGTCCGTGAAGATAAGTCTACCACCAAAACAAGAGTTGTGTTCGATGCATCTTGCAAAAATGAAAACGGTATATCATTAAATGATACATTATTAGTAGGACCTACGATACAAGGCGAGTTACGTCACCTTATTATGCGCTGGAGAAGCTATCCCGTATGTTTAACAGCGGACATAATTAAAATGTATAGAATGATTAAAATAGCAGAAGAAGATAATGATTATCAACGAATTGTATGGAGAGAGAATATAAATGATGAAATAAAAGACTACAAATTATTAACTGTCACCTTCGGAACATCATCAGCTCCCTTTTTAGCAGTCAGAGCACTTAATCAGGTGGCTTATGATGAAGGAGAAAGGTATCCTTTGGCTGCAGCACGGGTTGCTAAAGAGTTCTATATGGATGATTTAATGACCGGAGGAGAAACAGTACAGGAATGTTTACAAATATATCATGAA